TTGAGGGTTTTGAGGATTTTGAGGGTCTTGAGGGTTTTGAGGGTTTTGGGGCGTTCGGCTCTGAGGTTTCCTGAGGTTTGCTGTGGTTTAGGGTTTAGGGGTTTAGGGTTTAGGGGTTAGGGGTTTAGGGGCTTAGGGGTTTAGGGGTTAGGGAACTGGGCTCTTGGAGAGGGAACCCTCTAGGTCGGTGCTTGCTTTGCTGCGCCAACTTATACTTAAGCTGCAGAAGAGAAAGCCGGGTGATGGCATTTGGGGGTTCTGGGACTGGGGTGTTTGGGCATGAAAGCCTGGCCGCCCTCATAGCTCCGCGTTTCGCTCTTTCGCATAGGCACTTGTGCTGCTAGGCCGCTAGGCCGTCTTCTGCTTTCCTGCTCGCTCTGTAGGCTCCGGGCTCTGTGCTCTTCCTCTGTTGGGGAGAGGAGCAACGGATTGATTGCAGATTCGGGGTGTGGGGAGCCTTGGGAATGTCACTAGTAGTTCAACGGCACGGAGAAACGGCAGGGACTATGAACACAACTGTTCAAGGGTGAGGTTCAGGGTTCCAGAACAGAACCGAGCTTTCATGCATAGAACTCGGCCGCGTGAACCACACCCCGCCAAATCCGTTGAATTATCCGTCGAAGAAAAGATGGACTAAAACGCTAAACCCTAAACCCTAAACCCTAACCCAAATCTTGAGCTTCTCGCCCAGCTTTGTGTCCGGTGGCAGCGAAGCCGTTCCTGAGCTAAGGCAAAGTTGGAGCCGGGTTGGGGGCGCTGGGGGTTCAAGAATTAGGGTTTAGGGTTTAGGGTTTACGGTTTAGGGTGAGTTTGAGGCAAATCTTCTGGTTTAGGGTCTCGGCGCAACATCGTTTCAGGCGTTTACAAAGATCCCAACTCGTCCCGACAAATGCCCGAACGGAAGAGAAGCAGCTTGGTAAAACCGCACGCTGCTCAGGGTACTCTTCAAGGCCACTGCAGCATTTACGGAATCGCCTGCTGACAATAACAATCATACCGGTAACGCCAGGAAAACCACAGCCAGTAATTCCCATGAGAACTCAATGAGACGTGGTCATCGTCATAGTCCTCATTCGGATCATCGTTGCCACCGTAGCCGTCGTCATCGTCCTCATCGTCATGGCTTATAAGGTCATCATGCTTGTCATCATCATCTTGCAGCAAGCTCCTTGGCAGAGCTCCGCTTCCGTCTCGGGGTGCCGGACGCGGCCGAAGACACTTGGTGTCCTAAATGTCGTGATTGCCTTACCTTCTGATTCCCTGGCAAAGGAGGGGAGTCCTCGGCCCTTGCTCGTAGCTGGACTTGGGGGAGCTTGCTTGGGCACCTGTCACACTGTGACGCAGCCCGTCTTCCCGTTGTGTTCCTTTCGGTGTGGGAGCTGCGTGCACCGCTAGCGGTACCCGTGCGTGCACCTACTTGTTTCTGCTGCTTCCACAAGCGTTGTAGCGTTCGTTTGCGCTCAATGATGTCTTGCCCAATTGTATTCCCATCATCACCATTCACATAATCATGCTGGTCATGCTTGCTAGTCCTCTGCTGCACACTCACAGCACAAACATCATATTGACACACGCCAGAACCAAGACACTCCATTAAACTCCCATGGCGTCCCTCTCAGAGTTTAGGGTTTAGGGTTTAGAGTTGAGGGTTTCGATGCTTTAGGGTTTTTTCGTGCATGAGTATTGTGACCTGAATGCAGGAGAAGCTCCCTGCCCAATTGGGCGCCTGCGTCCGTGTCACCAACCTCGGAAGCTTTTGGAACTTTAGGCCCTTCACGTCCATAAACCCTTCGGCCGAGACCGGATCCACCGTAGACTCTAAGCCCTAAACCTGTAGGACTCTGAATAAACGGCCCTTGTAGGAACCCTGCTGGTAACCGTTGTGTTACCCCCTGTACGTAAGACCCTTGAGCCCCTTATGGCCTGCAGCTTGCTCTCAGGCTTCAAGCCGTCGGTTAGAGAGTCTGGATCTGAAGTCAGAACATCGGAGGTCGACGTCGTCGGTAACATAGGGTTTCTGGTTCCCTGTTGGGGCTATGTTAAAAATGATCATGTTTAATCCTTCTTGGGTTTAAAAAAAACGCAAAATTGTAGCCAGCAAGGACCCAGGTTTAGGGTGTAAGGTTCCTGTCACAGTGCAGCAACAGCAATGGCAGTGGCCACTGCGGCAACGAAAATGACCAACCAGAGGACCAAGAGCAACAGAAACTAGAAGAATTACGGCAACGAACAGAAGAAGATGGCTCGAAAATCAAAGTACAGGGACCAGAACCATCCAGTATAGCCAACAGCGCCATATTCACAACCGAAACCATCAGCTCAACAAAAAGCGAAGCCACAGCCGCAACCCAACCACAGCATCCACATAAGCAATTCCAAGAAACACCACAACTACCACAGCTGCAGCCGCAGCACAGCCAACATCCCGAAACCTCGAATTGCCAACACCACCATGACAAATTCCCAAACACCTGCCTTCCCACATTCAAAGGCTCAGGACCTAGCTCGTACTGGCTCCGGTTCACCCATGGCGGAAGGTAGTTCTCGCCGGCTACCTGCTGGGCCACACTTCGGTTCAGGTTTGAGGGTCTTAACATCTGGAAATGAACGATTAAGAAGAATATCAATCCAGCCCCAACATCATCACACAAGAATGTGCCTAAAGCCTATTCTATTTAAATTGACTCATGAGGCCTCTTTTTTAATGCAGCTTCCTCCTGGGCCGACGGTCCGCCCAATGGAGTAACGATGGCCCAGGCTTCCAGCGACAAAAAGGAATCCTTGATTCAAAGCAACCAACAGTCTCTTGACCAGGGTCGTATGGTGGATTTTATGGATTTGTCTATCTTATTTTTCGGCACCTTTACAATTTCTAGCCGAGTTTGGGGGGTATACTGTTGCGTAAAGGGACGATAGGGAAACAGTACTTGAGACCTTTGTATATTTATCGGCTGAGTGGGGGCTCTCCTTACGCAATCCCTATCTTATCATCATGGGCACCCTCATCCCTACTAAACCCGACATGCTAAGTCATCTAATACTTGCACCCCCAACCTTCGTGGACCCCTAAAAAACAGGGGCACCCCTTAACCCTAAACCCTAAACCCTCATGGAAGCCTCAGAAGGCCCCACCCAGACTTAGGGCAAGCCGTGCACTAGCCCTATACGATCCCTATCTATCTATCTTTATCTGTCTATCTATATGTGTATATATGTATATATATATATGTATATATATATATACACACATCCAGGTATAGAACAATAGCACATATACACTATCTAGACCCTCTCACATCTTTATATCTCATCAACCCGAAGGTCCAGCCTGGAGGGTCCTCAGCCCGCCGCCGGGGGCCGTGGAGGAACGCTGCAGCTTCCTTCAAGCGGCACGCGGCCGCAGTTTGCGGTTGAGGGTTTAGGGTTTAGGGTTCAGGGTTGGGGTTGAGGGTATTTTGGGTTGAGGGGTCAGGTTTTGGGCACCGTGGGGGAGGATTATATTATTAGGGCTCATAAACATACTTGGGAAGGCCTTGCATGAATTTGAGGCGGTTTACCGCTTGCGGTCGGGGGCCTGGCACAGTGTCTCTCGTTTAGGCGTGAGCTTCATCAGATGCTTTTACGGCTCTGTGGGCCTTTGGGGCTTCAGAATGCTGGAGGACTAAAATCGAAGGCTCCGGTCACAGGCCATTGAACATAGAGTTGTGATTCGATCAGCAAGTGAGCCCCAAAAAACAGCTTTTCTCACACCGTAAGGACACATCACAAACCTTGAAATCTGCAACCCCGCGCCCTCTTCTACCAACCATTCTGCTTCAAAATCCTGAACCCAAAGGGCAAATTCGTTCGGTAGAGGCACCGCCGCACCGTGCCATCGTGGCTGATGGTGACTCCTCCGCCTGCAGAGGCTCGTTATGGTGGGTATCGAGGGCTTAGCGTCGCCGCGGCGGCTGATGATGAACCATGTTACTGCTGTATTGCTTTGCTGTGCTAAGTGTGCGGTAAGTCTTTTTGCGTGCAATAGCTGATGTGGCAGTCGCAATACTCACAGTAGCCGGAGGAGGAGAAGGAGGAGGGGAGATGGAACGACAATAGTAGTAGTAGTAGTAGTAGTAGTACGTAGTACGTAGTAGTAGTAGTAGTAGTAGTAGTAGTAGTAGCAGTAGCAGTAGCAGGAGCAGCAGCAGCAGCAGCAGCAGCAGCAGCAGCAGTAGTAGTAGTAGTAGTAATTACTAGTACTAGTAGTACTAGTATTAGTAGCAGTAGTAGTAGTAGTAGTAGCAGCGGCAGTAGCAGTAGCAGGAGCAATAGTCGCAACAGCAGTAGCCAGAGTGACATTAGCAGAATCCTCACGGCCTCGGATCTTAGAATTCAGGGCTCGCTGTGGCTCGGCGTGTTAGAGCTTGAAGGGCTGCATCCCTAAACCCACCCAAGACAAGTCCGGCCCAAAGGTCCCGTCGCCGAGGGATCGTAGGTGTTGCGCAGCTGCCCCGTCTGCCTGAGATCTACATTAGCGGAGGAATGTGATACTGGGATTACACAGAAACGTAAGCGGACCAAAGGTGATAGCCTTACCAAGCCTTACTCAGTCTTCAATGTCTATACTACCAATACCATGGTTGTGCATCTGATGGCTAGTCTTCTTGCCATGATGAAGACGATGGCAGCGATACTGATGGTGCAGGTATTGGCTATGGCGATGGTAAATGGGTTGGTGAGATGGACAAGAGATGAAAGGAAACATGATGTTGAAGATTATGAAGATAAACGTGGTTCAAGATGATCCTGATGGCGATAATAATGATGAGGGACTGTGAGGATGCTGGCCTGTCAAGCGGACTGCAGACCTTTGACTACTACAGTATCGTTACTGATCCTCGAAGTCTCGAAGGTCCCATCTTGCTTCATCCCTGCCTGCCTTGAGGTGGACCCTGCCTAGATGTAGTTGCATGCGGACGTCTTCTGCTCAGACGCTTCCTCTTGCAGTTGCTACCTCACCTTCGCATCACGGGAAATCTCAAAAGCATGTCTGCACCATAATCCGATATGCCACATCTAAGGGGTCCGACTTGGATGGGCATCACTCCAAGTTGGAGATGCTTCGAACCGATCCTCGGAGGTCCTAACCCTGACGAATCCAACTCAACCTTCGGTAGCAAGTGCCAGTCACGCGACTCCAGATACGACTTGTTGTACCAGCGTGCAATCCTCTGCCTGAGAGACTCTGGGCGGAGGGGGCTTGCGATTCAGTGTCACTTCCTGGAAACCCTTAGGCCCTCAAGGCCTCGCAAAAAGGGTCCCCGACCTAAGAAAAGAGCTGACCTCTCCTCGTCGGAGTGTCCACGATGTGGCTGGAGGCGTGGAGGATGTGCTGGGTGCCGTTGGTCTTCGGGCAGTGCCAGACGTCCTGCACTCAGCCCGGCCCGGCCCAAAGCCCCGAAGCCAACTGGAAAGGCTTAGTCGCTGGCGAGCTGTGTGCGCATGACACCGTTGAGCTTGTCGTGCGTGGCGTTCACGGCTTGGTCGTAGACCTTTGCTCATGGAGTTGTGACTTGAGCCCGAAACCTAAACTTCGCCTCTATCTTCAAGGGGGGCTCAGTCCCTTCGCGACTTCGGCCAGTTCTAAGAAGCGGGCCCAGTCATAGCGGGGCCTCGAAAGAGGCACGACAGGCTTGCCGCAGTTCGAAGCGTCAAGACCCTACCTCTTACAGCAGAGACGCCCGGAAAAGCTTTGCCAGACCCCAAACCTTCGTGCCCCGGAGCCTTTCACCACGGATGGCGGACTCGCGGTCTTTGGGGAACATGGGGCCAGTGTTGGTCTTCAACCATGACCTGGCGAAGCTCTGTCATTTGCAAGATCCCGACGAGCGAGTTGTAAAGCCTGCTTCCGATTCAACGGATGTTGACTTCGAAATCCAATATTGAAGAACAATTCAGGCAGGAATTTACATCCTGTCGTTCAAAGCCAAAGTCGCGAGCAGCCTGAAAGAACAGCAATCACGTGATGCACATCAACCCAGCAAAGACACGTGGGCGAGCTCGGTGGCGATGTCAATCGCTGCGTTGGCGCCGGATTTGTGATTCGGTCCATTGCCAAATCGGAAGCGGGAGTGCCAGTGTCCAAACAGCAACACTAAACGAATTAGGTCTGCAAGTATAACCATTGCAACATCGGCAAGCATCTCATTCACTCCGACTGCTGCCATAAAGTGCGATATGTGCAGCAATGCATTGGACTTCCCTTGAAGTTGCTTTTTTCGAGACTCCACGCCCTTCAGGCTCGAACACTGATTGGCACTGCAAAAACATGTCGGAACAGATCCATTTTGGGGCTGGTTCTCTGGACCTTCTTGGGGTGAGGTGTCTTCAAGGGCTTGAAGCCTTCGACGAAGGCTTCGAAAGGGGCCTTCAAGCGCTTTGAAGGGCTTGGAAGCTGAGGCCGAAGGGGCTCCGAAGGCTTCGAAGGGGGGGAGCGAATGGGGGCGTCCAGGCCTGAGGCGGTTTTTTGGAGCTTCCTGGCAGTGGCAGTCAGAGACAGACAGAGACAGAGACAGACACAGACAGGTAGAGACAGACAGAAACAGACACACAGGCATCGGCGACGCCCCATCCACAGTGGACAAAACTCCATCACAGAGCATAAACTCTTTTTTTCGCTTTCCGAACCTTCAAGAAGCAAGATACAGTACACGTGTAAAGTATCGTCGATCAGGCCTCTGTGCTGGTCTCTAAAAGATCGCAAAGCAACATATAAGCCGAAAGTATTGCCGATTATGCCCCTTCGGACTGTATTGCGGCGAATAACAGGCCAAAACGCCTCATCCGCAGTGGAAAAAGCTCCATCGCAAGAGAAACGTTTTTCCTTTTCCAAAACCTCAAGAAGCAAGATAGACATCTAAAGTCTTGTCGATTAGGCCTCTGGGGTGGCATGCCCATGGTGCTCGAATCCCTTCCAATTCACAGATTGTTCGTGATGCACGAATCCACCTTCTTCACTCTCTCTAGGGAGGGTATCCCCAGCTCCCCACACACAGCAGCTCAGAATTCTTCACTTCGGGGCGTGCCAATGTTGGTCTCTGGCGCCAACACTATTGTAGGGGCTCAGAAGAGCTTGCAATTCCGGAGACGCCAAGCCCTGGGCTCGCAGGACAAGTTAGTAGCTCGGAGTTCTTGGGCGCCCTGCACTCGGAGCAACTCGGAGTGATTGGAACGCATCGGAGTAGCTCTGAGAGCTATACGCAACTTCGTATTTCCGAACTTGTGTTTCCTGCTGGGGCTCTGAGCAGGCTTGCAAGGCGTGCGTAGCAGTTCAGAGTTCTTGGGCGCCCCCTCACTCGGAGCAGCTCGGAGTAACTCGGACTGCATCGGAGGCTCTGAGTAACTCTGAGTGCTCGGAGCCGAGAAAATGGGGAGTATCATCATTCCGGAGTTTTTCCAGGAGCGATGGTACCCCCAAACAATCGACTCGGAACAGCTCGGAATGCATCGGAGCAGCTCGGAGTAGTTCGGAGTGTTCGGAGTGCTGGGTGCATCGGAGTAGCTCTCAGTACCTCGGAGTTCTTGGGCGCATCCCACACTCGGAGCAGGTTGGAGTGCATCGGAGTGCTCGGAGTAGCCCGTATGCAACAAATCAGGGGTATGATGTCTGGCATCACACCCTGCTATTTCCAGTTTAAGGTTCAGGAGTAGCTCGGATGCATCGGAGCCTTGCCGTCTTCCAAATTGCAAGCTCTTCTGAGCACCCGAAATACTGCAGTTCCTGGGCGCCAGGGACCAACATTGGCACGCCCCAAAGTGAAGAATTCTGAGCTACGGCTGCAGATAGCCCCCGCAAGTGCTGTGTGTGGGGAGCTGGGGATACCCTCGCTAGAGAGAGGCGGGGGGGTGAGGACACCGGTGAGGATAGAGGCGGGGGACGGATGACACGACGGCGCGAGGACCAGCACTGGTGGTGTGAGGGCCGGGGGGTGAGGACACCGGTGAGAATACACGACGGCGCAACGACCCTGTGAGGGTCCGGAGGGTCAGGATACCGGTGAGGATACTGGTGAGGATACCGATGTGGATACATTTTGTGGATATCGACACATTTTGTGGATACCGATGTGGATACCGATGTGGATACCGATGTGGACACCTACCTCGCGCGGCGCGACGGTAACTTGCGACCCGAGCGGAGCGAACGGAGCGATCGGAGCGAACGGAGCGGAGCGAAGTGAGCGGAGAGAGCAAAGCGAGGGAGGGAGGGAGCGGAGTGCAGTGAGCGAAGTGAGAGAGCGAGCGGAGAATGATCACCGAGCTCTCAATTGATCTAGGATACCGAAAAGGTACCACTGTGCCTGAAATCACCGCGAAGGAATCGTGGTACAAAAACCCAGTATACCCAGTCCTGGCCCCATCATGCAAACGAAGAGCTTGGCCGAATTGCGGCGAACTTTGTTGCGTCTTCCTGGAACCCTCGTCCGCACAACCATGACCACGAGGGCTGAACAGCGCTGCCTTAAAGGGTTCCTGTCTTTAAGGGGTCGACATGAATAGGGTTTCGGTTTTGGGGTATATACATACGGCTTAAACCAGGCATCAAGCACGCGAAACCAAGGAGCAGTAAAAGACTGCACAAATACAACGGATGGCGCACGGCGCTTGCTGCAAGTCGCAAGCTACTTGCACGTCTTGTGGCTTCTAAGTACAGAGCTGAAGGTATCGGGACAAAGCAGCTTGCAAACCGTTATGCGGTTGAACTTCCCCGTCCTGGGTTTGCTGCCTGCCTGCCTGAAAAGCCTGCAAAGACCTGCCTTTTTTTGAAGGCTCTCTCGCCTTCTTGCCAGAGTCAGAATATCACGATGGTACAGCCAAAGACGAGGACTGAGGGCCAAAAGAGGCAGTGTAGTGAGTAGATGTGAAAGACCCCGGCTCCTCAATCCTCGAAGACTGCCGTGTTCACTGGCGCACAACCCCTCTCGACAAAGTCAAAACTACAGAACACGCCGGCTTGCTACAAGAAACGCATCGAACTCCCGGACGTCATGCTCACGGTATGACAAGCCCACCTTGTCAAGGTAGGCCACCTCCACTGTCTGCGAGAATCCTAAACCACTCGTAGGCCTAGCCTCCTCTCTCGCGCGCGCGCGTCGCACAGCAAGTGCCAAGGCAACTTTCCCTGCCCCGCTCGGTCTGCGTGATAGAAAACATGGAGTTCCTCCATCCGTTCCGCGGCTTTGTCAACATGTCGTCTCCACTGCTCGAACCAACTGCACCCCCAGGGGGCACGTCCACGATTTAGCTTGCAGAGCTCTTCAGCGTCACGCAGACGTTCGGCGTAATGGCGTTCCCAAGCCGACTCACTTTGGTCCGTCTTTACGAGAAGCACCTGACCCATGGCTTCAGCCAACGCCAACTCCTGTCGACAATCCATGTAGCTATACGATTCCTCCTCAACAACTCTGAGGTATGTCGACGCAGGTAAGACACCGTAAATCTGTTCACACCAGCAGTTTCCTGGCGTTTCTGGGTTGATGCTATGCTGGCCCAAGCCAGGCGCTGCGTCATACAGGAACACCGCAGCTGTCGACACCCGTTCTGGGTGTGGTCTCGCGCCCCACTTTTCAGCATACTTCCCAGGAAACGAAACAATGCAGTGTCTGGCGAAGCGGCGCTCAGCCCCAAGTTCACGTCCAGGATTTGCCATTCGCGGGCATGACAAGAACGAAAAACCCTGCAGCTTATGCTGATCCTGCAAGGCTTTCTGACTGAACTCATTGTCGTTTCCGGCAAGACGTCCAACAAACCTTTGAATCCGTCGTCCAAGTCCGTCATTGGATGCATCAAAATCCGGAAGCTTTCGGACCTCAGGGCCGACTCTCCTCTACTCTCAAGCAACAAGCAAGCAGCAGTGTACAGCAGTGTGCATAAACGAATGTGAACGCTCGGCTATATATATATATATTATATATATTATATATATATATATGAAATGTCAGATTGCGGGGCACATGAGGAAGGCTTCCCTGAAGCATGCACACAAGGACCGCGGCCTCTGATGGGTCAAACTTGAGCTCGTCGAGACGTGCAGAGACTTCATTGCTAGTAGTGTCCCAAACGCTGGAAGTCAGCTTCTCATCTTTCCTGGCGCTCTTCAAGAGCTGAGCTGCTGGCTGCTGACGCTCCGCATACTGGAGTGCCGGTGGCTTTGTGCCGGTCTCTCGCACTGCGGCCACCGGACATTTCGTGTGCTCCTGGAGCTCGGGTATGTTGAAAGTGCCAATGC